GGTGCGGATATGAGTATGGGTGTGGGTGCGGATATGAGTATGGGTGTGGGTGCGGATATGAGTATGGGTGTGGGTGAGAGTGTTGATGTGATTATCATTGTGGGTTATCAACTCAGATGGATACGAAGTCTGTAGGTTACCAAGTTGGTTGTTTACCGATTCAGATGGATACGAATTCTGTAGGTTACCAAGTTGGTTGTTTACCGATTCAGATGGATACGAAGTCTGTAGGTTACCAAGTTGGTTGTTTACCGACTCAGATGGAGTTGATTGATCAAGTCACTATTAAAGCAGTTAGGATAAAATTCTATATCTAGAATGGATCAAATTTTATACGATATTTTTCGGTCAAGATTTTTATTCAGCGAAGTTGGAGTGGACGAAAATAATCGTCGGCGAAAACAGTATTTGGCCAAGCGGAACTAATTCGTCAACGCGTATTCTTTTTTGAAAAGAGTCAAAATTTCGTTTGTTCTATATCCCTTGGACAGAAAAGAATAGCCCAGGAGGATCATTCCGACAATGAAACGCAATAAGATCCTATAGATTCCGATGGGATTTTATATAAACTTCCAATAAACCAGGTAATTGCTATCGGATTCTGAGTTGTGGAATGACATTCGGATCCCTAGTATTGGAATAACATTGTATAATCATCGGATCCTCCTGTTGGATTGTGACGGATCCAACGCTCGATTCGGACTACCCTCTAATGTTGGTTTGAGGTACTAATTAGTGGTCAATTAATTAAATGCGTTTTCCGGCGGATCCGTTAGTGGTTTCGTGACCCGGAATCCCATCGGATTTTATAGGCTGGTTGGATCCGATATAGGATTCATTCACCTGGGAAGGAGAGGAAAATCAGAGTTATCATAGTATTAATTAAGCCGGGAACCTATTGTAAATTTCAACTCAGCGTGAATCTAAATCACCTAAAGGCTGCACAGGCACCTATCTGGATTCCCCACGGGACTGAAAAGCCCTGAAGAAGGATTAAATCGAGAAACCAGTTGTTCTATACGATTCTGAAGAACCGAAAACCTACCCAGTCAGACAAATGTTTGAAAGTAACGCGTTATAATTAGTTTAAATTTCATTAAAACGGCGCTTTAACGGTAACAAACTATTAAAATGCCGTTTTAACGATTTCTCGAACGCGTTCTAGTGCGTTATAATATTTATGAGTTAAAATACGTGGAAATAGTTTTGATTTACGCGTTTTTATCCGTTACCAAGTCTGATTTCGCGAGATTTAACGCTGGTTTTTTCTTAACAGGTTTTATTACGTACAAATTTTACTATTATTTCATCAACGAAAAGTTTTTGTAGCCAAAAAATAAAAGAAAGACATTCAAAAATGTGCAGAATTCCTCACTATCCTTTTATAGTCCATTGAGAATGAAATCTATGGGGTGGTCGATTTTCGATCTTATCCTATGTATGCATGGATAGAAATTAATATCAATCAATAGCAGAACTTTGAATTCTGTAGGATTCTCATTTCTACCGCAACAAAAAATATGTTCATTTATCGTAAAACGGACATATTTTAGGAACAAAAGTTAATCCTGATATTTAATAAAGAAAGATGTAATATTTTGGATGAACGTGAATTTTTTCAATAAATGCGTATATAAAAATTCCGAAAAATATGTAAACCCGAGTCAACTCTCCCTAGAAGAATCCCCAGGGAGTCCCTAGGGATTTCGTTCTTTTGCGGGGACTCCCCGGGGAGTCGTTGGGGGAGAGTAGATTAGGGAATATATTCTAAAAAATATTTAATCCAATATCCATACCTTTTGATAATATTTTCAAAAACCTTATTCATATATTTTTTGAAATACATCTTGAAAAAAATGTTTATATTTCCTTTTATATATTTATATATTGTTTTATATATTTTTCAAAATTTTATTCATTACTTTTTCGAAGTGTATGTTCAAATAATAATAATAAATATTTCGTAATTTTTTTATTAATGATCTAATAAAATTTAAGCATATTTTTCAGACAAATATTAGTTTTAATTTTATGAGCTATCGCGAGAAATTACCAAAAATCATTTCGTTTTCGATGCACCTAATTTAATTCCATTCGAATAGAATCTTCACTGTAACTTACAATCGTAGGACTTGTCGAATGGATAACATATTCGACTCACATTCAGTACATCTTGGGATCGAATCTTGGACAACACAGTAACTTAGAAAAAATTATCAATATTTGATATTAGTTGAAATAGGAGGCGCGTATTCTCAAAAGATAATAGATAATGTAACTGAAGAAGAGTTCGTGATGGCTGACCGAGTATGGCAAACATCGTAAAAAATGCAGATTAACGATTTTTTGAACGAAGTAATGTTTGTTTAGTAACTTTAACGCGTTGCGAACACGTAGAAATGTGCGTTGTTAACGATTATATTTTCGTTAACATTTTGACGAGTTTTTTTCAGGCTTTTTTAATTTGTGAGACTGGGTATTGTAGGTTTTAAATAGAAGCAACGAAAACTCTTCAGAAATGGTATTCCACACTCTGTAAGATTGGCCCCAGAGCGAGGTCCAGGACACAAAAGAAAGTTATCTGGAAAGCGAAGCATGCTATATAGTGAATTTTTGGGTGCTTTACGCAACTCCGAAGAGAAAAATAGTGAAGTCTGCGTGTTTTAAAAAAATAACCTGATTTTCAAAATATCGTCGCGCCCCTCAATCAGACTACAGATCCAGTCAAAAATATCTTTTTCAATAAAATAGATCCGCAATGTTCTCTTTCCAGCAAAAAAGGATCTTTTGATAAAGCCTGTGACGGCGCTATGCAACTCACAAGCAGCTGCATTCTATCTTGAAACCTATAATAGTTAAAGTAAAATAGTGAACGGCGAAAGTCGAAGATTTGATCAAATTTTGTGAGACAGAAGCGCCAATTTCGAAGAAGTCAGAAATGAAACCCAGATTTAGTAATTTCTTATCAATATCATTTTTCTTAAAATTATTACCTGCCAATGAAAACAATATAATCATGCTGCAAGACTTACTGACACATCGTAAGAATGTAATGATCGTGAATGTGCACTTACCAAAACGAAACTCAAGACTAAATTGGATTGCCGAATATCATTTTTTTAGTTTTCGTTTAAGTCTAAAACTCGGTTACTGCATGATGCAAGGGGGAAACAGCAGACTCCATAACTCCATGACTCCATCTGACTTCATCTGACTCCATCTTATTCCATCTTATTCCATCTTATTCCATCTTATTCCATCTGACTCCATCTGACTCCATCTAACTCCGCTTGACTCCACTTGACTCCAAAAAGATGAAGTCTCTCATTTCCCTCTTGACAGTATGACTCCGTACCCGGAAGTTGAATTCCCATTACACAATAAACAGTTCAGTTTTGGGAATTCTACACTGTAAAAAAAATTCGTAGAATAATAAACCAAAAAAGGGTTGATGGAAGTGCAACGTATAGTAAACCCTTTTTACCGTATAGAAAATTCTCCTAAACCCTTTTTTAGGGTTTATTAAAGGGTTTATTATACGTTGCACTTTCATCAACCCTTTTAAGGGTTTAGGAAAATCATAAACCCTTTGATATACCCTTCCAAAGGGTATATGAAAGGGTTTAGGAAATCAATATACCCTGTCATATACCCTTTGGAAGGGTTAGGAAAGTAAGAAAGTCAATCCTGAACCATTTGGAACGGTTCCAGAAAGGGTTCACGTTTCCCCAAAACCCCTTCATACACCGTCCCAAATGGTTCAGGATTGAGTTTCTTCCTTTCCTAAACGCATATAACGGTTTATGTTAGTGCAAAGCACAATAAACCCTTTTCACGGCTTATTATTTTCCTAAACCCTTCCAAAAAGCACATGAAAGGGCATATTGATTTCATAATCCCTTTCAAATGCA